TAATTATTGTAATTGGGTCTGTTAGTGATAATAGGAGAGTTAATGGGAGAGTTTTAATGTAGTAACAGAAGGTTTTAGATTTTTAATTCTGTGGGGTTTTAAAGAGATTTTTTTAACATTTTATTGGACTTGTCTTGATAAATGAGCATAGTATTAATTTTCTTTTAGTTGTTATGAATTTGTGTTTAGGTATATGTTAGAATCTTTTTCATGGGAAATAATTCTGAAACTGTAAATGACGAAGTTGAAAACAGTAGTAACAGATAAATTTTGTTGTTTTCACTGTATATAGTATTTAAAGAAAACTATTTGACTTATGATTGGTGTCATTACATTAATATAATTATAGAATATTAATTTGATTCATTTTTGTAGTTTTTAAAGTTTTTTTTATATAACTTAAATCTTTTTTTCTTTTGTTTTTGAAGAAGTTTTCACTATAGGGCGTTTGCACTCGCCAGAAAGACAGAGAGAGACAGAGCGATAGAAAGCGAGAAATCCCCCCCCGGGGGGATGGCCACGCCACAATACCTTCTCCTCCATTCTCCTCTTGGGATCTTGGGCATGCACGCACATGTGCCCAGTGTGAGTTTAAGCCACCAGGTCCGGGACTTGAACTACGGTTGACTACGTGGGAGTCCAGCGACATAGCCATTATGCTAACTGCTGGTCCCTATATAACTTAAATCTTTAGTAACTTGTTTTAGTTGGTATAGTTTTTGTCTTTGTTTGTTTTGAGATAATTTACTTTATGATAAAAACTTTATTGTACAAAAGTTTTATATAGTAAAACCTTTTAAAACTGTTTTTACCAGAAATAAATTTTTGTAGTTATAGTTTTTGATATTTTGGGGTTTTATATAAGTTATTTTTAGAAATTACCTTAATCTTTGATTTAGAAAAAAATTTTGTATTTTAAAGAGCATGTTTTTATTTGTTATGTTACTTTAAAATTTCTTTGAGGTTTGTTTAGTGAGATTTTTAGATGTCTAAAGGGAGCTGTTGAGGTCTTGAGCAGCATTCATCTTTCATTTTAGAGGCCAGCATGGGGCACTTTTGTCTCTAGTAACTAACTTTTCTACATTGGGGACAAGGCCCCAGTATGGGCAGGAGTATATTAGTTATGGGCAATGTCTAGTGTTTAGGCTTTCACATTGTAAACATCTAGTCTCTTTCAAGGCATAGGCTCTGATTTGGACTGGTTTTAGATTTTGCCCTTAGGTGGAAGTTTTTAGCCTTCAGGATTATTCTGAGTGACTCTGTTTACAGGTTATTAGGTAGCTGTGGCTACAGGAAATTACAGGGCTTTTTTTTTTTTTTTTTTTTTTTTTTTTTTTTTTTAATTAAAATAAAAAGGTTTGTCTTTTTTTAAAGTTAAATTAAAGGGTAAGGTAACTTGTTAGTTTATTACAGTATTTTATAAAGTTATTTGAGAACTTTTTAAAATATTTGTTTAATTTGTGTGAGATTTTGTTAGTTTTTTAAATTGTTTAAAATGAACCAGTGAGTATTACCAAGAGGTGAAGCCCAGTTTATAAGTTTTATAAAGAGACTCTGTCTTATTGGCTATAGAAGAGCTTTAGTTGGAGAATAGAGTCATAGTTTCAGCTTTTATTTTTTGTTAAGTATCTTGATTATGTAACTTATATTGGGACCAAGCTATATGGTATGGGTGCTAAACTTGTCTCAGTTCTTGAGAATGTAGCCAAGGGGCAAGTCTCACAGGGCAGCAGTTTGATTGAAGAGAAATAAGGAAAGTGTTGGAAGTTGCAAGCTCCAAAGTTGCTCCCAGGGGCCAGGGGCACATCAGTGAGAGAAAGCCTGCTTAGAGTGAGAAAAACAATTTCAACCAAGAGTACTGTAGCCAGTAAGATTATCCTTCAAATGGGAAGAATGAATAAAATCACTCACAAATAGAAACAGAAAGAATTCAGCAATACTCGACCAGCTCTTCAAGAAGTAGTGAAAGGAGTGCTATATCAGGAAAACTAGAGAGAGACAGACAGAAATGAGATATCAAAAAAGAACAAAGAAAATCGCTAACAAAATGGCAGGGACAAATTTGTGAATATTGATAACATTGAATATGAATGGAATACATTCTTTAATCAAGAGGCATGCACTGACTAAATGGGTAAAAATAACCAAAGCCCTCTATTTTTCACTTATGAGAAATTCACCTCATGGATAAAAATACACATAGACTAAAATTTAAGGGCTAAGAGAGATATTCCATACAAATGGAAATAAAAAAAGTGAAAGTTGCAATACTGATATCAGATAAAATAGGTTTTAAGACAAAAACTGTGAGACAAAGGGAGACACTACATAGTACTAAAAGAACTAATTCAGCAAGAAGACGTAACACTTATAAATATCTATGCACCAAACTTCGGAGCACCCAAATACTTGAAGAAAAGACTGCTATATCTAAAAGGAGAGATAGACTGCAACACATTAATTATTGGAGATCTCAACACCCACTTCTAAATGACACTTTAAATAAAGTGGACTTAACAGACATCTATAGAACTTTCTGCCAAACAACCAATAAGTATACACTTTTCTCACCCCCTCTTGGAAACTTTTTGAAGATTGACTACATGATAGGGCACAAAACAAGCCTTTACAAATTTGAAATATAGAAACCGTACCCAACATCTCCTTCAACCATGATGGAATTAAACTGGAAATTAATTTTAGAAAAGTTCCTCAAAAATATACAACCACATGAAAATTAGCTACTCCTGAATGACTTCAAAACCCACTGAAATAAAAAGATTCATTGAAATATATGATAATGAGTGCATGAGTTTCCATAAACTATGGGATATAGCAAAAGCAGTTATAAAAAGGAAGTTCATGGTGAATAGTGGACATAAGAAAAAGATGGAAAAATGGCAAATAGAAAATCTAACAACACACCTCAAGGAATTGGAAAAACAAAAACTAACTAACTAACTAAATAAATAAAATGCCAGGAGAAAAGAAACAATAAAGATTCAAGCAGAAATAAAAGAAATAGAGAATAAGCAAACTATATAGAAAATATGTGAAACCAAAAGTTGGTTCTTTGAGAAGATAAGCAAAATTGACACTGCTAAATTAATTAAAGAGAAAAAGAAGCCAGATAAATCAAATTTGTAACAAAACAGGCAATATTACAAGAGATGTAACAGAAATACAAAAGATCATTAGAGATTATTATGAGTGACTATATGTCAAGAAAACTTGGATGAGGTGGACAAATTCTGGACGCATATAAGCTACTGAGACTGAACCTGGAAGACATAAAAAGCCTGAATAAACCAATAGCAAGCAATGAAATTGAGTTGGTAATAATAATCTCACAATGGAAAAAGGTCCAGGTCCTGATGGTTTCATTTCTGAATTCTACAAAACTTTTAAAAAGAGCTAACTCCCATTCTACTTGAACTATTTCTAAAAGTCCAAAATGAAGGAACCCTTTCAAATTCATGTTCTAAAGCTTCCATCACCTTCATCCCCAAACAGACAGACATAATGAAAAAAGAAAGCTACAGAGCAATATCTCTGATGAACATAAATGTAAAAATTCTAAACAAGATATTAGCAAATAATACCCAATGACACATTAAAAATATTATACATCATGACCAGATAGGCTTTATTCCATGGTTACAAGGGTGGTTCAACATATGTAAAACCATAAATGTAATATGCCATATTAACAGAAAGATAAAAACTATATAATCTCTCTAAAAAAGAAATTAAACCAAAAAACTTATGATTATAGCAATAAACACAGAAAAGGCATTGGATAAAATATAACATCCTTCATGATTAAGACTCTCAGAAAAATTGGCATAGAAGAGACATCAACATAATAAAAACCATATATGAAAAACCCACAACTAACATCATTCTGAGTGGTAAAAATCTGAAAGCTTTTCCACTAAAAACTGGAATAACAAGGCTGCCCACTTCCTCCACTTCTCCTTAATATAATACTGGAAGTCCTAGCCAATGCAATTAGACAAGAGAATAAAATAAAAAGCATTCAGATAGGAAAAGAAGTGAAAAGGTCTTCATTTGAAGATGATATGATTATATGCAGAGAAAATACATAAGAATTTATTAAAATTGTTTTTTTTTGAGAGGTTTTTGCTATAGGGTGCATGTGCTCGCCAGACAGACAGAGAGAGACATAGAGACAGAAAGCGAGAAATCACCCCCTAGGGGGGATGGTCACGCTGCAATCCCTTCTCCTCCATTCTCCTCTCGGGATCTTGGGCACACACACACATATGCACCAGGTCTGACTTTTAAGCCACCGGGTCCGAGACGCGAACCATGGTTGACTACGTGGGAGTCCAGCGACATAGCCATTATGCTAACTGCTGGTTCCTGAATTTATTAAAATTCTTAAAAGAAATAATACAGTAAAGCAGCAAGATAAAAAAATCAAAATACAAAAATCTATAGCATTTTGATACACCAACAACAAGCAGACTCAGGTAGAATTGAAGACCAATTCCTTTTACAGTACCCACAAAAATTATGATATTTAGGAATAAACCTAACTAAAGAAGCAAAAAATTGTAAAAGAAAAATGATAAAACACTAAAAAATATTAAAAATTATACAAAATGGAAAAGCATTTCATGTTATTGGATTGGAAGTATTAATATAACCAAAATGTCAACTTTTCCCTTTTGACCAGCCAAAAAACATATAAAAAATGCTCAACATCCCTTATCATAAGGTATATGCAAATGAGATACCACCTAACCCCAGTGAGAATGACTAAGTTTAAAATAATAAAAGATAGATAAGTACGGTGAAGCTGTAGTGAAAGGAACGTCTCTTATAGTAATGGTGGAAATGTAAGTTAGTGAAGCCACTGTGGAGAACAATATTGAGGTTCCTTGAAGATCTACAAATTGAACTATCATATGATCCAGCTATTTCACTCCTGGGTATCTACTCAAAGGATAGAAATATGCTCAGTTGAAAAGTACCTGTACATCCATGTTCATGCGGCATTATTCACAGTTGGTAAGACATGGAACCAACCCAATCTGTTGACAAACAGATAAATAAATTTAAAAAGTGTAGTTCATTTATACTATGGAATACCAATCTGCCACAAAAACTAACAGGACACTGGCATTTAATAGAAAGTGGATGATTATGGAAGATGTACTGCTAAGTAAAACAAGCTAAACTATGATATTGTATGCCCCCCCCCACTTAATATATACAGAATGTCCATACTCTATTGCAGAATCTGAAAGATTAGAAGATATAAAAGCATGCAGAACAATTGTAGATACTAGAGACAGTGTGGGAGGAAGGTGGGAAATGGGAGAGAGGGTGAGAGGATGAGAGGAAAGGACTCAGGAGAAAAAGAAAGGAAACATTTAAGGGACACAAAAATGGAAAACTATTTGTTGATAATAAGGTGTATGATAATAGGTTTAGCTTGACTAATACACAGTTTTTTCATGCTGAGAAAATTCATTTTGCAAGCTATAGTAATATACAGTGGTTAAATATATTTAAAATAATACTAATAATTTAAAAGAAAAACTTTAGAAAAAGAAAGAAACAGAAAAACCAAAGTGAGATAGGAGTGAAAGCTTAAAAACAGATTGCATTCATAAAAACTATGGCAATATAGAAAAGGAGACTTCAGTGTAGAACTGGGTTCTATTATGAATTCAACAAAAAGTGGGAATATATACAGAAAAAGGAGAGGGCCTGTGGATGAAAATTTATTAAAAGGAAACAGCAGGGTAGAAGGTACTGGAGTGGAAGCAGATATCAACCTTGGATTAAGGCTGAACCAATTTAGCAGGATTCCTGCTAAAACTGGGTGATGCAAGACAATCAGTACCAAAGTTCAGGCCTGGCTGGGAAGAGGATTGAACAGAACTTGGCTGAAGCTTGGTCTAGGAGAGACTCTCACAGGGAAAAAGGGGAGAGTTCTCAGAAGGAATCTGAGTTCCATTGGCAGTGGGTGGTTCAAGTGAGGAGGGGAGACCCAGAGTACCACTTGGTGATGATGGGTTCAGAGTCAGAGGCCAGGGTGTGAGCCAGGTGGGGCAGTGAGCATACAATGGGCTTCGTGTGTGGGGCACTGGCTTAAGACTTAGTCACTAGTGGGTGGATTCTGTGCAGAAAGAGCCTGGCCTAGCCCTGTGTGTCCTCCCAGCCTCACTCAGGCCTAGGGAGGAAAAACTGCTGAATCTGCTCTTCCCAGGGCTGTAGCTGCCTGTGGCACCAAGACAGTGTCTCTCTCTTATTTATTTATTTATTTTTTTTTTTGAGAGGTTTTTGCTATAGGGTGCATGTGCTTGCCAGACAGACAGAGACAGAGAGATAGAAAGCGAGAAATCATCCCCCAGGGGGATGGCCAAGCCACAATCTCTTCTCCTCCATTCTCCTCTCAGGATCTTGGGCACATGCGCCTGGCGTGAGTTTTAAGTCACCAGGTCCGGGACTTGAACTGTGGTCGACTTCGTGGGAATCCAGCGACATAGCCATTACGCTAACTGCTGGTCCCAGACAGTGTCTCTCTTCAAATGGACTATGATGCTGAGTCCCATGTTGCACAGGGCTGGAAGCATGCTTCCCTCGCTCACTCTGTCCCCCACATCATCTGTCCCCCAGTACTAGCCTGAAGCAGGTGGTGGCAGAGGCTGCAGGGACCCCTGTCCACTGTCTGCCCTACTCTAACTACAGCTCTTCTGCACTGTCAATTGTCCTATGCCTTCTTGCCCCCACCAGTGCCTATTTTAAAATATATGTACTTTAGTGGAATAACAAACACGATTTATAGCTTTTTTATTTTAAAATTTATTTACATTTAATCACAGGTCTTTATAGTATATATTTCTTTTTTCAACAGAAATACCATGCATGCCAGTCAAGACAAAGATATTACTATATACATTATCATCAGCAAATAGCTTCTCATTTTTTGTCAATTAAACATACTTTTACCAGTTATTTCCTTTCCCTTTCCCTTCCCTACCTTCCATACTAAACTTTTTTTGTCACATTTTATTGATTTATAGCTTGACTTTTAAAAGATGTTTTTATCAGACAAGGTCTGAATAACATCTTCAATGATAGTAAGCCCACTAATTCAAAGAAATAACATCCTTATTTCAAGACCTAATAATTAATATAAAAAAGAGAAAGGTTTTAAATGCCCAAGAATAGATGACTAGATTGAAAAAAGAAAATACAGCACATAGACACTTTGGAATACTACTCAGTCATAAGAAAACAATGACACTGTGTTATTTAATACAAAGTAAATGAATATAGAAGATTTTCTGCTAAGTGAAGCAAGCCAGACTATGCAAGTCATTGTAGGCCCCTGCTCAATATATACCGAATGTCTGCACTCTATGGTGAAAACTGAAAAATTAAAAGGTATAAAAACGTAGAGAGCCTCTGTAGATGATAGAGACAATGTCATAGGAGGGTGGGAAATGGGAGATAGTGAGAGAAAGGGGAAAAAGTAAGAAACAAAACATTTAAGGGACACACAAGTGAGAATTATCTGTTGATGATAATTATTAAGGATGAGAAATTCATTTGGTATGCTGGAATGATAAACACTGATTGACTGTAAATTGTTTTTTCATTTTCTTTTTTGCCCTTGATTCTCTTTCCACCACTTCTCATTTCCTACCCTTCTTCAACATTGTCTCCATTATCCAGTTACTTGCTAAGTTTTTATAACTTTCAATCTTTCAATTTGTCATACAGTGCAAACATTCAGTATATATTGACTGAGGACATACATTCCCCTTCTTTCATAGTCTGACTTGCTTTCCTTAGCAGTAAATCTTCATATTTGTCCACTTTCAATCAAATGTCAGAGTCTCATTTTTGTGGCTGTGAAATACTCCATAGCATGTATATGTCAGACTATTTTAATCCATTCACTATTCATGGATGTTGGGGTTCTTTCTATGCCTTAGCAATTCTGAATAATGCCATAATAAATATGGATGTACAAGTATTTTTCTGACTAAATATAATCCTATTTTTTGGGTAGCCACATAGGTGTGAAATTGCTGGATCATATTGTAGTTCTACTTGTAGTGCCAGGGTCCAGCCTCAGCGGGGGTGGGTTGACTCGACGGAGGCGGCGCAGGTGAACAGAAGACAAAAGCCTCGGTGCCTTTTTATGCACGTCCTATGTCAGACACCCCTCAAAGATTGCTCTCTGAGGAGTGACAACCACCAGGAATTATTGTGCCTTCTTATTGAAAATGTGTTACATACAAGTAAATGGAAGAGGGGCTACGTGTTTCAATTATCAGCTCATAAAGTTTTAACAATAGAGAACATAGATTCTATTCAGGGTTGGATTAAGGGTGGGTCTAGTGCAGTTCTGCAATTGTAGGTGGGTCTCCATGGAATGCAGTTTCGGGAAAGTGGTTCTGGTAAGCAGAGATGATTATTAGCGCAGCAGCCATCTTGTGATTATCGGGAATGGTGCTGAGAAAAGAAAATCTCAAGTATAGATATTAGTTCTTATGGATCTTAATAAAGAATGATACTTATACAGTTTTGTAGGGATTTAAAACTTAATTTGAGGAATCCTAATATATTTATCTATTTCACTTGGTGAGGGCGGGGGTGTCCTGGGCCAGTTTTGGCCTAATTCTATTTTAGGTAAAGAAAGGATTAAGTTTACCTTAAATGTATTTTAAAGGGCCTTCTAAAGGTCAAGATTATTTCTGCCTAGATAGAACTTTAGCCCACTCTCTATTGTGACCATGGAGATAAAGCACTGCAATTAACAGTAGGCGATTAAAGCAAAGGGGAGCGGTCGGGGGACTTCCTGGAAAATTTTATCATATACTCAGGATGTATAAGAGAGCTATGTAATTCTTTTATAGTGGTATATTGGGGAGTGAGAGGGGGGTCGCTTCCCAGCAAGGCTACCAGTCTCTGGAGTGTACAACAAGTGGCCTTGCTGAATCATGTTGAGTGGACCCAAGCATTGTTCCTAGATCAGAGGGGCATACAACGGTGGCTTTGCCAACCTGTTGATCCGACCAGAAGTGGAGCTCAAAGGTCGGGGGCACTCAGACAGATCCTGGGGCCTCGCCAGGTTGGACTCCTCCATTGTAGGTCTTTAAGAAACCTCAATTTTCTTTCTTTATTTTTTGGAGAAGTTTTTGCCATAGGGCACGTGCACTCACCAGAAAGACAGAGAGAGACAGAGAGACAGAAAGTGAGAAATCACCCCCCAGGGGGGATGGCCATGCCACAATCCCTTCTCCTCCATTATCTTTCTGGGATTTTGGGCACACACGCACATGCACCCAGCGTGAGTTTAAGCCACCTGGTCTGGGACTTGAACTGCGGTCGACTACATGGTAGTCCAGCAACATAGCCATTATGCCAACTGCTGGTCCTGGAACCTCAATTTTCTACACAGTGGCTGGACTAATTTATATTTGAACCAACACTATAGAAAAGTTCTCTTTGCACAACAGCCTTGTTAGCTCTTATCATTCTTTATCTTTTTAACCTTAGCAATTCTGACTGTGGCAAGGTGACATTTCGTTGTGGGTTTGAGATGCATCTCCATTATAATAAGGATGTTAGGCATTTTTGTTTATATTCTTTTAAGTTGTTTGTATAACTTCCTTAGAGATTTGTCTGTTCAGTTCATTTTTTATCTTTTAATAGTTCTCTTTTTTTCAGGTAAGCTGCTAAAACCCATGTATATTCTGGGTTATCAGTCCCTTATCTGAGGCAAAGTTGGCAAATATATTCTCCCATTCTGAGGGTTGTAGATTCACTGTAATTATTGTTTCTTTTGCTGTGAAGACGCTTTTTAACCTGATGTAATCTCACTAGTCTATTTTGGAGATTATTGCCTGTGCAATAATTATTGGTCTTCATATCCGCTTTTGTGCTAATACCATGTGGCTTTGGTTATCATAACTTTGTAATATATTTTGGGGTCAGGGAGTGATGTGTCTCCTCCTCCACTCTTCTTGTGCAGTATTGCTTTGGCAATATGGGGTTTATTATAATTCCA